AATGTCATGTCAAGTAGAGGGATTGAGTTTCGCAGCCATGAGGTCACGTTGCAGCTGTACAAAACTCTGGTGCGGCCGCATTTGGAGTATTGCGTACAGTTCTGGTCGCCGCATTATAGGAAGGATGTGGAAGCATTGGAAAGGGTGCAGAGGAGATTTACCAGGATGTTGCCTGGCATGGAGGGAAGGTCTTATGAGGAAAGGCTGAGGGACTTGAGGCTGTTTTCGTTAGAGAGAAGAAGGTTAAGAGGTGACTTAATAGAGACAAGATGATCAGAGGATTAGATAGGGTGGACAGTGGAAGCCTTTTTCCTCGGATGGTGGTGGCTAGCACGAGGGGACATAGCTTTAAATCGAGGGGTGATAGATGTAGGACAGATATAGGACAGATCTCAGAGGTAGGTTCTTTACTCAGAGAGTAGTAAGGGCGTGGAATGCCCTGCCTGCAAAAGTAGTAGACTTGCCAACTTTAAGGGCATTTAAATGGTCATTGGATAAACATATGGATGATAATGGAACAGTTTAGGTTAGATGGGCTTCAGATTGGTTTCACAGGTCAGCGCAACATCGAGGGCCGAAGTGCCTGTACTGTAATGTTCTATGTTCTATGTCTGTTACCATGCTATACATCTCTATGAGTTTATGTGGTTTGAAAAAATGCACAAACTACCTTTCAAAGACTAATGAAAATGTCATTTTGGGATTACCCAATTATGTGGTGTACATAGACAATCTGGTGAAGGAACATTTGGAGCATCTATCAGAATTGTTTTATCAAATTCAAAAGGCAGGCTCGGTGATAAACTTGGTTAAGAGTGAGTTTGCAAAAGCCCAAGTCATGCTCTTAGGCCATATCATTGGACATGGACAAATTTTCCCATGGGATGTGAAAACAAAGAGTATTAGGGAGTTTCCATACCATTGACAAAGGGGGGAGTACTATGATTCCTGGGACTGAATGGTTTTTTATTGAAAATTTGAACCAAAGTTCAGCAGCAAGGTTGCTCCACTGACTGACTTGTTGAAGAAGTACAGAAAATTTCAGTGGGCAGTGGATTGTCAGAAGGCATCTGACAGCCTGAAAACTGTGTTAACCACCACCTAAATATTAGCCACACCTAATTACAAATGGCAAAGCCATTCAAGTGGCTATGGATGCAATTAATATTGGAGCAGGTGCTGTATTCTTGCAAGATGATGAGAAGATAGAAAGACCTATTGGATATTTTTCCATAAAGTTGAATATTCATCAACAAAAATATTCCACAATTGAGAAGGTCTTGAGTTTGGTGTTGACATTGCAACATTTATATTGTCGGTAAATGTGTCTGAGACCATTGTATATACTGACCATAACCCCTTAACGCTATTGGAAAATTTTAAATGTAAAAATATGAGATTGTTCAGATGAAGTTTATTGTTCCAGTCATTTCATTTGAAAATTAAACAAATAGTGGGATGAGAGAAAATAAATACTGATGCATTATCATGAAGGAAGACGAAGGTGTTCAAGGTTGAAGAAATGGACTGTAGTGTTGAATATTTGCATGCTTAGTCAATGTAATGCACATGTATTATAGTGTACTGATTGTGTAAGACTAAAGGTTTTTTAAAAAACAAAAAAATGACCCATCAATATACAGCGATGACTTTAAGGGAGAAAGAGACAATATGGCTTTGAGGGGTGTATTTCGTCCTTTTTTCAGAAAGGTTTTGAGCCAGGGGTATAGAATTGTCTCTTTCAAGCCAATGAAGTAAACAGCTTGTTAGGCCCTGAGTTTTTTTTAAGTTGGAACAATGGAAACAGCATGAATGGGTGGTATCAGGCTCCCATAGAAACATGGTTTTAATTTAGCATTCAAGTGTTGGGATTTTGAAGTTTGCTGTGGAAGCTGTTTCACCTTTCTGTGTCAGAACAGAAAGCTGGAGTTCTAACACACAGTCTAACACACACAAATCTACTGAAACTCTCAACAATCTACAACCTCGTTATTATCAAGCGAGTAAGACAGAATTTCTAAACACTCCCCAACGTAATCTTTGTAAAACCTCCCTCGAGGAAAAGAGTTCTGTTTTCCATCTGCAAATTCTGCTGAAAGAAATTTACAAAACCCATCATTATGGGTCTAGGTCAGAAACTCATAACTTCTCCCCTCCGGCTTCCAGACCCTTGCTGGCAGCGCATGCGCACTGCTATACCACCAGCATCCGTAATCGCACGGCCCACCCTCACAGCCATTTACCCAGCCAAGGTCTGCACATGCTCAATTCAGACTGCCCCGTGACTGATTGGCGGCAGACTGTGCAATAGAAAAGAAGGTGGGACTGGAGGACATCGGGACGGCAGATGGTCATCCAACCAATCAAGGCTTACAAGGACAACACGTGATCTTCCCACGGCCGTCCTGACCCCTACCCGCTCAGCGCAGCGTCTTTGTACAGAGTGGCGTTTCATGAGGGGGTGACAGTCAAGTGCAGTAATGGAGCCAGCGTGGCCTGGGAGAATACATAAGCGTCCGGAGGGCATCCAGACCAAAGCTATAGAGTCTCCAGGTCCCGCGTTTACAAAAAACAGCGAAACAACTGTGGGTTCTGGCATCAACAGGACTGCCTCTACATCAACGAATACCGGTCACGTTTGGACATAGAGCAGTTTTTCCGCCGCCTCCGCCTCCACGCTTACTTCTTCAACCGTGAACCTAACCCTCCCTCTACTGACCCCTTCTCCTGCCTCCAACACACCCCCTCCTCCTGGACACCACCCCAAGGCCTCCTACCCTCCCTCGACCTCTTCATTTCCAACTGCCGTCGAGATATCAATCGCCTCAACCTCTCCACCCCTCTCACCCACTCCAACCTCTCCCCCGCAGAACGTGCAGCCCTCCGCTCCAATCCCAACCTCACCATAAAAGCCGCGGACAAGGGAGGTGCAGTTGTAGTATGGCGCACTGACCTCTACATCGCTGAGGCCAGACGCCAACTCTCCGACACCTCCTCCTGCCGCCCCCTTGATCATGACCCTCCCCCTGAGCACCAAACCATCATCTCCCAAACCATCCACAACCTCACCACCTCAGGTGACCTCCCACCCATGGCCTCCAACCTCATTGTTCCCCAACCCCTCACCGCCCGCTTCTATCTCCTTCCCAAAATCCACAAACCTGAATGCCCTGGTTGACCCATTGTCTCCGCCTGCTCCTGCCCCACCGAACTTATCTCCAACTATCTGGACTCCATTTTCTCCCCCTTGGTCCAGGAACTCCCTACCTACGTCCGTGACACCACCCACGCCCTCCACCTCCTCCAGAACTTCCAATTCCCCGGTCCCTAACACCTCATCTTCACCATGGACGTCCAGTCCATATACACCTGCATTCCCCATACAGATGGCCTAAAGGCCCTCCGCTTCTTCCTGTCCCGCAGGCCTGACCAGTCCTCCTCCACTGACACCCTCATCCGCTTAGCCGAACTCGTCCTCACCCTCAACAACTTCTCTTTCAATTCCTCCCACTTCCTACAGACAAAGCGGGTGGCCATGCCTGCCTCTTTGTAGGTTGCATGGAACAATCCCTCTTCTGTACCTACACTGGCCCGAAACCCCACCTCTTCCTCCGTTACATTGATGACTGTATCGGCGCTGCCTCGTGCTCCCACGAGGAGCTCGAACAGTTCATCCACTTCACCAACACCTTCCACCCCAACCTTAAGTTCACCTGGACCATCTCTAATACCTCTCTCCTTCCTGGACCTCTCGGGCAACCACCTAGAAACCGATATCCATTTCAAGCCCACTGACTCCCACAGCTACCCAGAATACACCTCCTCCCACCCACCTTCCTGCAAAAATGCGATCCCCTATTCCCAATTCCCTCGCCTCCGCCGCATCTGCTCCCAGGATGAGGCATTCCACTCCCGTACATCTCAGATGTCCTCGTTTTTCAAGGACCGCAACTTCCCCACCTCAGTGGTCGAGAACGCCCTCAACCGTGTCTCCCACATTTCCCACAACTCATCCCTCACACCCCGTCCCCGCAATAACAACCAAAAAAGAAACCCCTCGTCCTCACGTACCACCCCACCAACCTCCGGATCCAACGCATAATCCTCCGACACTTCCACCATCTGCAATCTGACCCCACCACCAAAGACATCTTTCCCTCCCCACCCTTATCTGCTTTCCGGAGGGACAACTCTCTCCGTGACTCCCTTGTCCGCTCCACACTCCCCTCCAGCTCCACCACACCCGGCACTTTTCCCTGCAACCGCAGGAAGTGCTACACCTGCCCCCATACCTCCTCCATCACCCCCATCCCAGGCCCCAAGAAGACTTTACACATCAAGCAGATGTTCACCTGCACATCTGCCAAAGTGGTATACTGCATCCGCTGTACCCGTCGTGGCCTCCTCTACATCGGGGAAACCAAGTGGAGACTCGGGGACCGCTTTGCAGAACACCTACGCTTGGTTCGCAGTAAACAACTGCACCTCCCAGTCGCGAACCATTTCAACTCCCCCTCCCATTCCTCAGACGACATGTCCATCCTGGGCCTCCTGCAGTGCCACAACGATGCCACCCGAAGGTTGCAGGAACAGCAACTCATATTCCGCTTGGGCACCCTGCAGCCCAATGGTATCAATGTGGATTTCACAAGCTTCAAAATCTCCCCTCCCCCCACCGCATCCAAAAACCAGCCCAGCTCGTCCCCACCTTCCTAACCTGTCCTTCCCCCAACCTATCCACTCCTCCCACCTCAAGCCGCACCCCCATCTCCTACCTACTAACCTCAACCCACCCCCTTGACCTGTCCGTCCTCCCTGGACTGACCTATCCCCTCCCTAACTCCCCACCTACACTCACCTTTGCTGGCTTCATCCCCGCCTCTTCGACCTGTTTCCTCTCCACCTATCTTCTCCTCTATCCATCTTCTATCCGCCTCCCCCTCTCTCCCTATTTCTTTCAGAACCCCCTTCCCCTCCCCCATTTCTGATGAAGGGTCTAGGCCTGAAACGTCAGCCTTTTTGCTCCTGTGATGCTGCTTGGCCTGCTGTGTTCATCCATCTCTGCACCTTGTTGTCTTGGGCTCAGGCCTGCCATCTTTTTTGGGCCAGTGTGCAGTAGGGCGCATGGGCATTCTTCCTTTCTCTGGTGGATTCGGAGAAGACTTCGACCCAGCAAACTCAAATAGCAGAAATGATTGCCTCTTTTATTCTTGAATTGACAGTGATTCTCTTTGCCAATCAAGTCAAACATCTGTGTGAATGGAAATAGGGAAGGGCCAAATAAAGGAGGGATTCGTAAACAATAGAGAGTTTTAATTGAGGAGCTATTTGACCCAGATACTGTGTAGGTCAGTAAGGACAGTGATAACTGGGGAGTGAACAAGCCTTGTGAAAGAGGATATAGACAGGAGAAATTTGGATAATCTCAAATTTTAGATTGAAATGGGTGGTCTGAGCGATGGCACAGTTGTGTCCACAAGCTCAGCTGGAGATCAGATGTCAGAGTTGTGACCAGGCTGGTTCAGCCTCAGATAGTTGCCAACAAGAGAGAAAGAGTCAATGACTACAGATTGAAGTCAATGGTTTCATTCTTTGAAATACTGAAATAGGATAAATTTCTGCTTCTCTACAACTGGATGACAAGGAAGACAGGAAGGTGTGTGACTTGGAGGTGGTCGTGGTGGTTTGCATACACCTGCCACCCTGATCCTTTTAGGTGGTGGAGTTTTGAGGGTTTGGGAGATTCTGTCAAAGTTCTGATTGAGTTGTAAATATATTCAAACAAAAACCTTTTTGCAAAGTGTCTCTATTGCAGCACTGTCTTGCATTCTCTCACCTCCCATAGGGACCACAATCCTATGGGTAGGGACCAGGCAACAGGTTCCCTTCCCTGATGGACATTTGTGAACCACTTGGGTTTTAGTGACGATTCTACCAGCTTTCATTGTCACATTTTCCTCATGTTCATAGCAAAAATTACTGAATTTATTCAGCTCAGTTTCACAGTCTGCCTTTGTGTTTTTGCAGGTTCACTCATACTTTTTTTCTGTTTTCAATCCGTTTCACAGGGTATTAGAAAAGGAGGATTTACAGTAAGGAAACAGAAACTTAACATCATATTTGGATCAAATGGAGTCATCTGATTTACTGTAACTGGAATATTATGGATTTTTAACATGGAAACAAAAATCACAGTTGACAATGGGGAAGAACTGTACACATGTTTGTCTGGACAATCATCTTATGTGGCAGAATATGAATGCAGTCACCTCAGGAAGAAACCATGGAAATGTGGGGAGTGCGGGAAGTGTTTCAGTTACCCAGTCCAGTTGGAAATTCATCAGCGCAGTCACACTGGGGAGAAACCATTCACCTGTTCCGAGTGTGGGAAGGGATTCTCTACCTCATCCCACCTGCTCACACACCAACGTATTCACACTGGGAATAGGCCGTTCACTTGCTCCGTGTGTGGGAAGGGATTCACTCAGTCATCCAACCTGTTAACACACCAGCGACTTCACACTGGGGAGAGACCATTTTCCTGCTCCGAGTGTGGGAAGGGATTCACTATTTCAGCTCACTTACTGAGACACCAACGAGTTCACAATGATGAAAGACCTTTTAAATGTCCAGACTGCAGCAACCAGTATAAAAGTTCTGGGGAACTGATGTCCCATCAACGTGTTCACACTGATGAGAGGCCATTCAGGTGCTCTCACTGTGGAGCAGGGTTCAAGCAATCATCTGACCTCACTGTGCATCGACGTACTCACACAGGGGAGAGACCATTCACCTGCTCCACGTGTGGGAAAAGATTCAATCAGACATGTACCCTTCTGAGGCACCAACAAGTTCACACTGGGGAGAGACCTTTCATTTGCTCTGAGTGTGGGAAGAGATTTGGTCGTTCCTCTACCCTACTGAGACACAAGCTAGTTCACAAGAAATTACATTGACTGGACTCTCACTGTTAATCACATCGCAATCAGAAATGTGTACATGAGGGTATGTTCCGGCTGATGTTCACTTAATGTGGGTCAATATTCTGTTAAAAATCAAGTAAATCAGCTTCACGTGAAACACAGAGATAACAAGGTGTAGAGCTGGTCAGAAAAGGGTCTAGGCCCGAAACGTCAGCCTTCCTGCTCCTCTGATGCCGCTTGGCCTGCTGTGTTCATCCTAGCTCTACACCTTGTTATCTCAGATTCTCCAGCATCTGCAGTTCTTACTATCTCACGTGAAACACAGTTTGGTTACTCATCGTAATATCTCTGAATCTTTTCAAAGGTCTTGGCCTCTTCCCCATCTCCCCATTCTCATGTCCAACAATGAGGATCTCATGGAAATTCTTTGTCATTGAGATTGGGACACATTTAACACCTTCAACATTCACTCACCACAAATGCACTGCAACAAAAAGCTCCTCGGATAACACCTTACAAAACTACAGCTTCTGCCATCTAGAAAGAGAACAGCAGCAGATACAGGAGAACAACAAGCCCTGACTTGGAAATATTATTGACCCTTCCTTTGCTGAGTCAAAAATCTGGAACTCTCCCCCAAACAGAATAGTTGTTGTACCTATAACCCAAGGACTGTAGCAGTTGAAGCCAGCTCACCATCACCTTCTCTGTGCAATTAAGGATTGGCAAAAATGCTGGCCTAGTTACTAATGCAAAATTCTGTGAATGAATGAAAAAATATTCAGCTTTTTTCATATCTGAAACCCAACTGCGTGTTCCAGCTCCTAAAACCTGCCACTGAACTTCCTTTTCCATAACACTGTTATTCCCACAAATAAACCCTGCTGTCTTCCTTAATCAAACTAACAAATATTGAAATGTTTGCTCCAGACACTGATTAAATAAATCACAATCGCTTTTGAAAGTTATGACAGAATTTGCTTCTACCATTCTGATGTGTTCCAGATCTTCATAACTCGATCAGTAAAATAATCCCTCATCTTTACCTTGGATTTTTAAATCATTTTTTTCAGAGGTTGTGTCCTGTGACCACCAACCTCTCTGTCAATGGATACAATTTCTTCATGAAAGATGTTCAGACAGAAACTACACCCTATAAATCACACCTCATCTTCTCTGCTCTAAGGAGAACAGTCCTCGCTCCTCCAGTTTCACTTCCCCTCATTTCAGATACAATTTGGCAATGCTTTCTCCTGCTCTCTCTTCAAGGCCTTGATATCTATCCTGAACTGTGTCACTCAAGTTATCACAAGATTTTACCTGACGATGACGAAAATTCTGTATAACTTGTTTTTGACCTCCATTATTAAAGCCAGGTAGCGGTTTGTATTTTTTTTCTAAAGACTTTGATCAATTTGTCCTGTCGCGTTAAATAATGTGTACACCTCCACTCCCAGGTCACTTTGTTCTTGTACTCTTTGTAATACTGTCATTTAGTTTATTCTCACTCACCTTATTCTTCCTTTAAAAATCTATCATTGTGGATCATTTTGGGATGTTCTGAGTGCATGAAAGGTGTTGACCTTTCTTTTTCACCTGTGATTTTAAGTTGTAGATACTTTTTCCCCTGGGGTGAACTCATGATTATCGGTCAAAGTGAACTACTTTACTGCAGAGACAACTTCAGCTGGGAGTCAGTGAATGAAAGAGAAAGATCCCAGACCCCCAGTTCTTTAAGGTTCACTGCAGACCTGACAGGTAAATCAGCTCCATTCTCAGCTCAGGAGACCCCAACAACTCCCCCACACTGTCCTCAAGGGAGTTCTCCAGTCGCTGTAGAATAAACAGTCCCGATTCAGCCAACAACAAAAAACCATAATTAATCAATCAGTCACTTATCCGATTGCTGTTTGTCGAATCTTACTATACAGAAACTGGCTGCTGTGAAATGGAACAACTTGTATGTACATACCACACGTTTCATATGTTGAACAGCCCAAGGTGCTTCAGAGGAGTTTCCAAAGGCAACATTTGATGCTGAGTCCTATTGGGCAAGATTTGGGAAACAGCCAAGAGCTCATTTGGAAAGGCAGATGTCAAGAAACATTTTTAATCAAGAGGGAGCTGGAGAGGTTCAGGGAGGAAATGTCTGAGCTTCACACACAGGCACAGGCACAACCACAACAGTGGAAGAACTGAATTCAGAGATTCTGAATAAACCAGGATGACAGGAGTACAGATATCACAGACAGTGAATGAGCGACTGAAGATTACAGAGATAGAGGGGGACAGGACCAGGAGTGGAGATCTCATGGAGAGTCAATGACTGGAGATTACACAGATAGATAAAGGTATGACCAGGAGTGCAGATATCTCAGAGAATGAGGTGACTATGAAAGACTGGTCAGAAATAGAGTCATAGATACAGTCATATACCGCACGGAAACAGACTCTTCAGTCCAACTCATCCATGAAGACCGCAGTAAATCTAGGCCCATTTGCCAGCATTTGGCCTATATCCCTCTGAACCCTTCTTATTCATAAACCCATCCAGATGCCTTTTACATGCAGTAATTGTACCATCCTCCACCACTTCCTTTGGCAGCTCATTCCATACATTCACCACCATCTGCTTGAAACAGTTGCCCCTTAGGTCCCTTCAAATCTTTCCACTCACCTTAAACCTATACATACTCCCACCCTGGGGAAAAGACCTTGTCTATTTACCCTATCCATGCCCCTCATGATCTTATAATTGTCTATAAGGTCACTTCTCATGCTCTGGCACTCTAGGGAAAATAGCCCCAGCCTATTCAGCTCCCCCCTTTAGCTCAAACCCTCCAACCCTGGCAACATCCTCATAAATCTCTTCTGAACCCTTTCAAGTTTCACCACATTCTTACTAGAGCAGGGAGACTAGAATTGCACACAGTATTCCAAAAGTGGCCTAACCAATGTCCTGTACAGCTGCAATATGACCTCCCAATTCCTATACTCAGTGCACTGACCAATAAAGGCAAGCATACAAAACACCTTCTTCACTATCCTGCCTACCTGGGACTCCACTTTCAAGGAACTATGAACGTGCACTCCAAGGCTTCTTTGTTCAGCAACATTCCCCAGGACCTTGCCATTAAGTGTATAAGTCCCGCCCTGATTAGCCTTTCCAAAATGCAGCCCCTCATTTTTATCAAATTAAACTCCATCTGCCACTCTGCAGCCTATTGGCCAATCTGATCAAGATCCCATTGTACACTGAGGTAACCTTCTTTGCTGTCCACTAGACCTCCAGTTTTGGTGTCATCTGCAAAGTTATTAACCATACCTCCTATGTTCACATGAAAATCACTTATATATAATATTAATATAATTTGGTCACCCTGTTATAGAAAAGACATAGTTAAATTGGAAAGTGTGCAAAGAAGATTTACGAGGATGTTGCCAGGATTTGTAGGCCTGAGGTACAGGGAGAAGTTGGCCAGGGTAGGACTTCATTCCTTAGAAAAAAGTAGAATGAGGGTGACCTTATTGAGGTGTATAAAATCATGAGGGGCAGATTTAGGATAAATGCATATGAGTCTTTTTCCCAGGGATGGGGAATTGAAAACTACAGGGCATAGATTTAAGATGAGGAGGAAAAATTTAAGAAGGACCTGAGGGGCAACTTCTTCATGCAGAGAGTGGTGTGTATATGGAATGGGATGCCAGAGAAAGTAGTTGAGGCAGGTATAATAGCAATGTTTAAAAAACATCTGGATAGGTAGGAAGTGTTTAGAGGGATGTGGACCAAATGTGGGCAATTGGAACTAGCTGAGTGGGCACCATGGCTGGCATGGGCCAGTTTGGGCAAAAGGGCCTATTTCCATGCTGTTGTACTCTGACACTAAAAGCAGTGGACCCAGCACCAATCCTTATAGCACACTGCTAGTCACAGGCTTCCAGTCTGAAAACCAACTCCCTGTCTTCTACCTTTGAGTCGGTTCTGTATTGAAATATCCAGTTCTCCCTATATTCCATGTGATCTAACCTTGCTAACCAGTCTATCATGAAGAACCTTGTCAAATGTCTTTCTGAAGTCCACATAGATCATGTCCACCACTCTGCCCTCATCAATCCTTTGTTACTTCTTCAAAAAATTCAACTTCAGACTGGATTTCCTATGCCCGAAGCCATGTGGACTATCCCTTATCAATCCTCGCCTTTTCAAACACATGTAAATCCTGTCTCTTAGGATTCCCTCCAACAACTTGTCCACTACCGATGTCACACTCACCAGTCTATAGTTCCCTGGCTTTTCCTTACCACCTTTCTTAGAAAGTATTGGAATAATCAAATCTGGAGGTAACATGGTATTGAATGAAGTTTTCAGCAGGAGATGCGCTGAGATAGGGCAGAAATAGCCAACATTATGGAGAATGAAATATATGGTATTAGCAATAACCTAGTCACTGATGTTCACTTTAGGTTCTGCCAGGACTACTCAGCTCCTGACCTCATTAAGTCTTTGTTCAAACACAGACTAAAGGGCTGTATTCCAGAGATGAGTTTGGAATGACCATCCTTGACATCAAGGGGCTCAAGCAAAACTGGAGTCAATGGGAATCATTGGGAAAACTCTTCACTGGTTGGACCTAGCACAAAGAAAGATGATTGTGATTGTTGGAAGTCAGTCATCTAAGCTCCAGGACACCTGTGCTGGAACTCCTCAGAGTAGTATCCTAGGCCCAACAATCTTCATTAATGACCTCCCTCCATCATGTCAGAAGCAGGATGCTGACTTATGATTACGTGATATACAGCACCATATTCTATGCTAGTTAGATGACAAGGTTAAATAGAAATTCCCATCTTCACAGTACAATTAAATCAGCAGACTACTTGGGATGAAACTTCTACACCATAAAGGCCAAGAACAATTGGAGCCTTCCACAACTAGATTAATTTAGGATACCTGATCACATGGACAAGTTGGACTGGAGAGTCTGTTTCCATGCTGTACAGCTCTATGGCTCATAAAGGATACAGAATAAACTGACAAGAGTTGAGGCTACCACAACACCACAAAGTCTGTGTCATCTACAATGCACAAGTCAGATGTGCAATGTGCAATATCCTGAAGGAGTGCAGCTCCAACAACACTCAGAAGCTTGACACCAACCAGGACAAAGCAGCCCACTTGTCTGCCATTATGTACACAAATATTCAATTCCCCAATCAAAGATGCCCTTAGTAGCAGCATTGTGTACAGTCTACAAGATGCACTGAAGAGATTCACCTTCCAAATACAAGACAATTACCAACTAGAAGGACCAGTGCAGCAGATACATAAGAACACCATCATTTGCAAGTTATGCTCCAAGGCACACACCATCCAGACTTGGAAATATAGTGCCATTTCTTCACTGTTGCTTGGTGAAAATCTTAATTCCTTCCCTAAGAGCAAATGGACTCCAGTGGTTTAAAGCACCTTCTCAAGAGCAACCAGGAATGGGCAATTAATGCAGGTCTAATCAGCAACACCCACCTCCCACGAATGATTAAAAAAAGACTTAAACATTGTAATTAACACAGAACTGGTTTATTTGACTACAATCCAGAACATTCAACACTCATTAACAGGGCTACAGGTTATTCCCATTAGCAAAAACAGATGCCAATGAATATGGTTCACTCCCCAGTAGGATTAACAGCAAAATCTAATCACCACAGTTACTTGTGAACTCGCTGGTGTCTCAGTAGGTGGGACGACCGTGTGAATCGCTTCTCACATTGAGGGCAGCTGAATGGCCTCTCTCCGCTGTGAACCTGCTGGTGGATCAGCAAGGTAGATGACTGAGTGAATCCCTTCCCACACTCAGAACAGGTGTATGGCCTCTCTCCACTATGAAACCGCTGGTGAATCAACAGATGGGATGACTGAGTGAATCCCTTCCCACACTCAGAGCAGGTGTATGGCCTCTCTCCACTGTGAAACCGCTGGTGTGTCAGCAGGCTGGATGATTGAGTGAATCCCTTTCCACACTCAGAGCAGGTGAATGGTCTCTCCCCAGTGTGAACTCGCTGGTGTTTTGCCAGATCAGAAGACCAAGTGAATCTCTTCCCACATTTGGAGCAGGTGAATGGTCTCTCCCCAGTGTGAACCCGCTGGTGTCTCAGCAGGCTGGATAACTGAGTGAATCTTTTGCCACACTTGGAGCATGTGAATGGTCTCTCTCCAGTGTGAGTGCACTGGTGTATAGTGAGGTTAGATGGGCGCTTGAACCCATTTCCACAGTGAGAGCACCTGAATGGTCTCTCATCAGTGTGAACATGCTGATGGCGCATCAGTTCCCCAGAACTTTTAAAGCTCTTTCCACAGTCTGAGCACTGAAAAGGTCTTTCATCTGTGTGAAGTCGCTGATGGCGCCGGAGTTCCCAGGAATTCTTATAGCACTTTGTGCAGTCTTGACATTTAAAAGGCTTCTCTCCAGTGTGAACCTGCTGGTGTCTCAGCAGAGTGGATGAATCAGTGAATCCCTTCCCACACTCAGAGCAGGTGAATGGCCTTTCCCCAGTGTGCCGACGGAGATGGGTTTTCAGCTCAGACGGATAACTAAATCCCTCCCCACAGTCCCCACATTTCCATGGTTTCACCCCATCATGGCTGCGCTTGTGTCTCGACAGGCCTGATGATCGGCTGAAGCCTCGTCCACACAAAGAACACGTGTACGGTTTCTCCCCACTGTGAATGGGGCTTTTTCCTTCCATGCTCAAGACCAACGAGTCAGGTTACGATAAACTGGGAGACCGTCCAATCCTGTTGTGATGTTTGGGTTACGTTTCCTGACTGCAGATCCTCTCCTTTTAAATCTGAAATTAATTGAAAACAGAGGAAAAAAAACAAGTGAGTGAACTGGCAAAATCATAAATTTCCACTGTGAACCTGCTGGTGTATCAGCAAGGTAGATGACTGAGTGAATCCCTTCCTACATTCAGAACAGGTGTACGGTCTCTCTACACTATGAAACCGCTGTGAAAATTGTGCTGAATGAATCTGGGAACTTTTGGAGCCAGCAATAGTGAAAATAGACCATGAAAACTGTTCGGATTGCCATAAAAACCCCACTGGCTCAATTCAGCAAAGGGTACTTGCCCACCCAGTCTGGCCCTACACAACATTCTGTGGGAGAACAGAGAAAGAGGGAGGTGGGAGAGGAATTTTATATATCTGCAAGTTGTCAGACTTCTGATCAACCTCCACCAACAAGTTCCCTCAAACTCATACTGTCCTGACTTTGCTAACATTAAGTACTGGATCATCAGTAATTTCCTCCATTAAAATCTTGGGAAGACTGTAGCTATTGTCTTAAGTACCTGCTACAAACACCACTTCCTCTCTAGCAATTCCATCACTCTCTCTGGCCATTGTACAATACTGGACCAGACTGTACACAATGTCATATTTCACCCCAAGACCAGCTTCTAAGCATATGCTCCAGTTTCAACACCAAGATATTTGTGCTCCTCCTAATTGCAGCCCCCTGGACATTCCTGCTTTTATTTGTTATACCTTGGCCTTCAATTGCCAAGACTATAATTTCTGGAATTGCGTTCCTAATCCTCACCCTTTTTCCTCTTAATTTTTCTCCTTTGACCTCCTCTTTAACATCTACCTATTAAGAGAGTGGGCCAGTGTTAGAGTGGAAATGCTGAGTCCTTTGCTCGAGAGATTTCTGCATGAGGAGGATGAACAAGGGTACAGGTAAGAGCACGTAAGGGCTCTAATACTCCACCTTCTTTCTGTCTAGGCTGAAGGCAGTGTTGATGGCAATTACGGCAGTGGCATGCTCCTCTTGCAGGATGTGGGAGATCAGTGAGACTTCCAGTGTCCCAGGTGGCTACACTTGCAAGAAGTGCACCCGGCTGCAGCTCCTCACAGACCTTGTTAGGGAACTGGAGCTGGATGCACGCAGGATCATCTGGGGTGCAGAGAACATAATAAATAAGAAGTGTAGTGGTCACGCCAAAGGTGCAGGCTGCAGTTAGCTAGGTGACCATCAGAAGAGGTAAGGGTGGAAGGCAGCTAGCGTCGGGTTCCACTGTGGCCACTCCCCTCAATAACAGGTACACCGCATTGGATACTGCTGGGGGGGAATGACCTTTCAGGAGCAAGGGGTCATCAAATGAGGCCATATGTTTAGAACTTAAAAACAAGAAGGGGATGGTCACTCTGTTGGGACTGGATCAAAGACTCCCAAATAGCCAATGGGTACTTGAGGAGCAGCTGTGTAGAGAAACTGCAGATACCTGTAGGAATAATAGAATAGTATTGGTTGAAGATTTTAATTTCCCCTTGTATTGATTAGGCCACCCATAGTGTAAAAGGCCTGGATGGGGTGGAATGTGTCCAAGAAAGTAACTTAACTCAACATGAAGAGGGCCTTACTCAGGAGGGTGCAACACTAGACCTCCTCTTCGGAAATGAGGTTGGACAAGTGACTGAAGTGTCAGTTGCAGAGTACTTTGGGTCCAGTGACCATAACTCTCTTAGTTTTAATACAGTTATGGAAAAAGTTAGGACAGGTTCACAGGTTAAGGTGCCAAACTGGAGGCAGGGCCAATTTTGGGGCCATGAGGCAGGATCTCGCAGAGGTTGATTGGGTGAGTTTGTTTAAAGGAAAAGGAACGAATGGCAAATGGGAAGCTTTAAAAAGTGTGATATCAAGAGTCTAGGAACAGTATGTCCCTGTGAAAAAGCTGACAGGTTTAGGGATCCCTAGCTGACGAAGGATATTGAGGCTCTGGTCAGGAAAATGAAGGCGGTATACGTTGTGTTTAAGTTATTGGGCTCAACTGAATCCCTGGATGACTAGAGGACTGTAGGAGCACACTTAAGAGGGAAATCAGAGGAGCAAAAAGAGGGTATGAGATTGATCAGACAGGTAAGATTAAAGATAATCACACGAGGTTCTGTAGCTATAGTAAGAGTAACAGGGTGGCTCGGGAGAGAATGGGTTCCCTTAAAGATCAGCATGATTGGAGCCACAGGAGATGGGGAAGATCTTTAATGATAATTTTGCCTCAGTGTTTACTGAGGCGAGAATCACGAATGCTAAGGAAATAAGGGAAACAAGTGGGGATGTTTTGGACCGCATACATATTACCACAGAGGAGGTATTTGCAGCCTTAAAGCGCATTAAGGTGGATAAATCACCTGGGCCTGATCAATACTCGGACGTTGTGGGAGGCTAGGGAAGAAATTGGAGAGGCCTTTGCAGAGATTTTTTACTTCATCTTGAGCCACTGGTGAAGTTCTGGAAGACTGGCAGGTGGCTAATGTTGTTCCATTGTTTAAGAAAGGTAGCAAAGACAAGCCAGGGAACCATAGGGCAATGAGTTTGACATCAGTGGTAGGCAAGTTATTGGAGAGGATACTGAGGGACAGGATCAACTAACATTTGGGTGGTCAAGGTCTGATTAGGGATAGTCAGCATGGATTTGTACACAGGAAGTCATGCCTGACAAATCTTTTAGAGTTTTTCGAAGAGGTGACCAAAAGGATAGATGACAGTAGGGCAGTGAATGTTGTCTATATGAACTTTAGTAAGGCCTCTGACAAGATCCTACACGGCAGGCTGGTCATGAACATAGAACATAGAACATAGAACATTACAGTGCAGTACAGGCCCTTCGGCTCTCGATGTTGCGCCGACCTGTGAAAGCAATCTGAAGCCCATCTAACCTAAACTATTCCATTATCATCCATATGTTTATCCAATGACCATTTAAATGCCCTTAAAGTGGGCGAGTCTACTATTTTTGCAGGCAGGGCATTCCACACCCTTACTACTCTCTGAGTAAAGAACCTACCTCTGACATCTGTCCTATATCTATCACCCCTCAATTTAAAGCTATGTCCCCTCGTGCTAGCCATCACCATCCGAGGAAAAAGAAGGTTAGCTCGCATCGGATCCAGGGAGAGCTAGCTATTTGGACTCAAAATTGGCTTGATGGTAGGAAGCAGACGGTGATGGTTGAAGGTTGTTTCTCCTACTGGAGACCTGTGACTAGTGGTGTGCCACAGGGGTTGGTGCTGGGACCTTTGTTGGTTGTTATTTACATAAATGATCTGGGCGTGAGTTTGTGGATGATACAAAATTAGGAGGCATCATTGATCGCGAGGAAGGTTATCAAAGATTACAGAGGGATCTTGATCAGATGGGGAAGTGGGCTGAGGTTTGGCAAATGCAATTCAATACAGATAGGTTAGAGTTGTTGCACTTTGGGAAGTCAAACCGAGGTAGGACTTGTACATTAAATGGTAAGGTCCTGAGGAGTGTTGTAGAACAAATGGACCGAGGAGTACAAGTACATAGTTCATTGAAAGTGGCGTCACAGGTAGACAGGGTGATGAAGAAGGCATTTAGCATGCTGGCCTTCATCAGTCGAGGCATTGGGTATAGGAGTTTGGATATTATGTTACAGCTGTGCAAGTCATTGGTGAGGCTGCACTTGGAATATTGTGTACAGTTTTGGTCACCCTGTTATAAGAAAGACATAGTTAAACTGGAAAGTGTGCAAAGAAGATTTACAAGGATGTTGCCAGGAGTACTAGGCCTGAGTTATAGGGACAGGTTGGCCAGGATAGGACTTTATTCCTTGTAACATAGGAGAATGAGGGCTGACCTTATTGAGGTGTATAAAATCATGAGGGGCAGATATAGGATAAATACATATAGTCTTTCTCAGGGTTGGATAATTGAAAACTAGAGGGCAGAGGTTTAAGGTGAGAGGGGAAAGATTTAGAAAGGCGCAATTTCTTCATGCAGAGAGTGGTGTGTATATGGAGTGGGCTGCCAGAGAAAGTGGTTGAAGCAGGTACATTTTAAAAACAACATTTGGATGGGTACATGGATGGGAAGGGTTTAGGGGGATATGGACCAAACGCAGGCAATTGGAACTAGCCAAGTGGGCACCATGGTCAGCATGGACCAGTTTGGGCTGAATGGTCTGTTTTCTATGCTGTATTATTCTATGACTCTGCCTCTCTAACCAGGTTTTTGGCCACCTGTTCCACTATCTCCTCCTGTGACTCTGTCAACATTACCTTCTATCACTCTGCTGAAACAGCTTTTATTACATAAAAAGTGCTATCCAAATGTGAATTGTGGGTTTCGATTTCGGCATACAGCACTGTTCATCCTTCAGTGCTGGGTGAAAATCTTGGCACTGCTTTAACAGTTTTGTGACAGCACCTGAAACTGTTATGTGATTATGTCATTGTTAGTTTTGTTTTGAGGATTTATGTTTCAAGCAATATGGACATTGGACATTTGAAAAGACATTTCTGAAGCTGTCTGCTTGGAATATTTACTGGAAATCACATGCCTAGGTTCTAGGATGTTGGTAGTTAGCTTTTGTTTTCTTTTATTTTTGATATTCCACTGGGGTACAGCCTGCTTACAGAGATACTCCAGCTCATTCACTGCATATCCGAGAGGGTTTTTTTTTTGAGGATCCAGCATAATAACAGAAACACCGTACCAGCTGTCCCCTGAAAAGCCACTTAATTATTCTTGCTGTTTCCTGAATGAACTGCATCTGCAAAGATCTGGTGATAACTGCGTGTTTAGTGACACCATCAGTGCCAAGACACTGATTGAAAACTATCTTGAACATTTCATTCTTTATCCTTTTTACTATCAAGAACTCGCAATTAGTTTATCTTTTCTAATTACCTTGTGCATGTGTGTTGCGTTATTTAGAAGAATAAATACTTATTCTCTAATGTTTCATATTGTGTGTTAATCAAATTTGTTAGTCATTGTGAAATAAATCTTGTTGTTGAAAATAGTCATCATCATAGAATCCCTACAGTGTGGAAACAGGCCCTTCGGCCCAACTAGTCCACACCGACCCTCAGAGTATCCCACCCAGACCCATCTCCCTAATCTACACATCCCTGAACAACATGGGCAATTTAGCATGGCCAATCAACCTAGCCTGCACATCTTTGGACTGTGGGAGGAAACCGGAGCACCCAGAGGAAACCATGGCAAAAATGGGGAGAATGTGCAAACTCCATGTAGACATTTGCACATGGTTGATGAATCTGTATTTTAAATTGAATGTAGGCAAAGTATAAAACAGGCCACATCGGGAACTGGGTAAAGCTTTGAAATTGATGTGATTGGTGAGGTGGTGGCTTGACAGAGAGAAATAACACACTCTCCAACCTTGGGTGTTACACACCAGCTGCTACAATAGTTCAAGGTCAAACACCATCTTCTTTACAGGCAACTAGGGAGTCACTATCTGCAGGATTTCTTTATGAAAGAGCAGGGAAGTGAAAAATGCTGATTCACTCTTGTGGAGATGCAGGATGGGTACAATAGATTGAAGAGCCTCCTTCTGCATTGTAATCATTAAACAATTCTATGACTCAATGAAAGGGGACTAGCGCTTGGGGACCAGGGAACAAATTTGGCAACCAACACCCACCTTCATACAATCCGGCTCTTCATTGTCCTGTCTGTGTTTCCAGGCTCGGTTCTCTGAGCAACACTTGCAATCAAATAATGGATAAATACTGCAGCTGTTGGAAATCTGCAAGAAAAAGAGAAAATGCTGCTGTTTAGACAATCTCTATGGAAGAAGAAGTAGAGTTAATATTTTGGCATGAGCAGAATCAATTAGGGTAATAAAAATATTGAAGAATTTGATGGTTTGTACAAATTCAGAAATGAAACAGAAATGGACCATCGTGCAGCGGAATCAATTCCTGACTACAAAACATACTGCGAGAAAATAGAGGTGGCAAGTGAGCAGCATTTGGTTGAAAGTAACAGTAGAATACTAAATAGAGCTAAAATAAGCCCATTATTTGAGAGAGGACAGTAGACAATGGTAGAGAGGTGCTTACGGAGCACAGATGTAAAGAAGAGCAATGGATTGACGTGAATTGAGATTCACTGGAAAAGAATCACACCAATCCCACAGCCAAAGAATCTCTCACAAATAACACAGCATAAACCTGAAAACTCTACGTTGTCGATGAACAGCCAAAAGACTCACCTTTGGAACAACTGCACCGATTTCTGGTTTAAAATGTCCTATTCGAGTCTGCAACTGGCTGAGGAGACAATGCTGGCCAGGCAGCATCAGAGGAGCAGGAAAGTTGACATTTTGGGTTGAGACCCGAAGTCGTCCTCCTCCCTCCGGAAGAAGGGTTCTGACCCAAAACTTTCCTGCTCCCCTGATGCTGCCTGGCTGCTGTGTTCCTCCAGCTCCATACTGTGTTATCTCTGACTCCAGCATCTGCAGTTCTTGCTGTCTCTGCTGCGAAGTTACCTTCTGTGGAATTATGACTGAACACCTCTGATAAATTCCTCAATAAATGCAGTTGGAATGATATCAGAAGCACTGAAGTCAGGAGAAGATCTCACTGTTGAGGACATATTCCAAGTGCAGTGATGATGTCACCACACAACTGTCAGTCAGTGCACAATGACATCACACACACATAAACACAGAAAATATGGGTCTGTGCAAACCAATGATCACCTGCCATCACAAAGTATGACAAAGATGAGAATGTGGGTGGGATGATAAATAAGTTTGCAGATAAGGGAAAGATTGGCTAGAATGTTTACAGTGAGGAGGAAGGTGGAAGGTGTTGGGTTACAGGAAGATATACTTAGACTGGTCAGATGCGCAGATCAGTGGCAGATGGAATTTAACCCTGATAAATATGAGGTGATGAACTTTGGAACAGGGTATAAGTCAGAGAGAGTACTCGATGAACAGCAAGACACTAGAAAGCTTGGAGGAACAGAGGAACGGTGGAGTGCTTGCAGATCCTTGAAGGTGGCAGGACAGGTTGATAGGGTAGTAAATGAGGCACGCGGTATATATTATACAAGCAGGATAGTTATGTCAGAGCTGTACAGAACGATGATTTGGTCACAGTCAGAGAACTGGAAGCATGGAAACAGACCCTTCAGTCCAACTCATCCACGCCAACCAGATATTCTAAATTAATCTAATCCCATTTGCCAGCATTTGGCCCATATCCCTCTAAACCCTTCCTATTCATGTACCCATCCAGATACCATTTAAATGTTCTAATTGTACCAGCCTCCACCACTTCCTCTGGCAGCTTGTTCACCACCCTCTGTGTGAAAAAAAAATTGCCTCTTAGGACCTTTTTAAATCTTTACCCTCTCACCTTAAACCTATGCCCTCTAGTTTTGGACTCCCCTACCCTGGGGAAAAGACCTTGGCTATTCACCCTATCCATGACGCTAATGATTTTATAAACCTCTATTAGGTCACCCCTCACCCTCCGATGCTCCAGAGAAAATTGCCCCAGCCTATTCAGCCTCTCCCTATAGCTTAAATTCTCCAACCCTGGCAATATCATTGTAAACCTTTTCTGAACCCTTTCAAATTTCACAACATCTTTCCTATTGGAGGGAGACGGGAATTGAATGCAGTATTCCAAAAGTGGCCTAACCAATGCCCTGTACAGCTGCAACATAACCTCCCAATTCCTATACTCAATGCACTGACCAATAATGGCAAGTATACCGAATGCCTTCTTCATTATCTTGTCTACCTGGGACACCACTTTCAAGGAACTATGAAGTGACACTCAAAAGTCTCTTTGTTCAGCAACACTCCCCAGGACCTTACTATTAAGTGTATATATCCTGCCCTGATTTGCCTTTCCAAAATGCAGCACCTCACACTGACCTAAACTCCATCTGCCACTCCTCAGCTCATCAGATCAAGGTCTCATTGCTCTCCGAGATAATCTTTTTCACAGTCCACGACAAAACCAATTTTGGTGTCACCTGCAAACTTACTAACCACACCCAAATCACTTATATAGATATCAAAAAGCAGTGGACACCCCACCGATCTTTGTGGCACAGGCCTCCAGTTTGAAAAGCAACCTTCCACCACCATTCTCTGTGTCCTACCTTTGAGCCAGTCTGTTTCCAAGTGGCTAGTTCTCCTTGCATTCCATGTGATCTAACCTTCTCAACCAGCCTACCATGAGGAATCTTGTCGAATGTGTTACTGAAGTCCATATAGATCACGTCCACCGCTCTGCCTTCCATCCTTTTCGTCACTTCTTCAAAAAATTCAATCAAGTTTGTGAGATATGATTTCACACGCACAAAGCCATGTTGACTGTCGCTAAACAGTCATTGCCTTTCCAAACATACGCAAGTCCTGTCTCTCAGGGTCCCCTCCGACAACTTGCCCACTGCTGACGTCAGGCTCACCAGTCTACAGTAAAACCCGAAAAAACTGCAGATGCTGTAAATCAGGAACAAAAACAGACATTGCTGGAAATGCTCAGCAGATCTGGCAGCATCTGTGGAGAGAAATCAGAATTAATGTTTCAGGTCAAGTGACCTTTCCTCAGCGCTCTCGATCCAAAATGTTAACTCTGATTTCTCTCCACAGATGCAGCAAAACCTGTCAAGCTTTTTTAGCAATTTCTGTTTTTGTCACCAGTCTATAGTTCCTTGGCTTTTCCTTATCACATTTCTTAAATAGTGGCACCATATGAGACAACCTCCAGTCTTCTGGCAGCTCACCTGTGGCTATCAATGATATAAATATCTCAGCAAGGGGCCCAGCAATCACTTCCCTAGCTTCCCACAAAGGTCTAGGGCACACCTGATCAGGTCCTGGGAATTTATCCATCTTTTTAAGATGTCCAGCACCTCCCCGTCTGTAACATGGACCTTTTTCAATAAGTCACTACTTATTTTGCCTGCCACATTCTTCTCCACAGTAAACACTGATGCAAAATAATTAATTAGGGATGGTCAAAATGGTTTTGTACAGGGCAGGCCATGTCTTACTAACTTGATTGAATTTTTCAAGGAGGTGACAAAGGTGATCGATGAGGGTAGAGCAGTGGACGTTGTTTACATGGATTTTAGTAAGGCTTATGACAAGGTCCCTCATGATAGGCTCATCTAGAAGATTAAGGTGCATGGGATCCAGAGTGACTTGGCTGCGTGGATTCAGAATTGGCTTGTCCATATAAGGTAGAGAGTAGTGGTGGGAGGGTGTTTTCTCAGGCTGTATGTCCGTAACTGCTGGTGTTCTGCAGGGATCCATACTGGGACTTCTGCTGGTTGTGATATATATAAATGACTTAGATGAAAATGTAGATGGGTGGGTTAGCAAGTTTGCAGACGATACAAAGATCAGTGGAGTTGTAGATATTTTAGAAGTTTGTCAAAGAATACAACGAGTTATAGAGCAGTTGCAGATATGGGCAGAGAAATGGCAGATGGAGTTTCATCCAGGTAAGGGAGAGGTGCTGGACTTTGAGAAATCAAATGTTAAGGCAAAGTACACAGTTAGTGGCAGGACTCTAAACAGCGTTGACATACAGAAGAGGTTCAAGAAAGTAACCACACAGGTAGATAGGGTGGTAAAGAAGGCATATGGCATGCTTGCCTTTATTAGTCAGGGAGTTGAGTACAAGAGTCAGGATGTCAGGTTGCAGCTTTGTAAGACTTTGGTTAGGCCACACTTACAGTATTGCGCTCATTCCAGCGTCACATTATAGGAAGTATGTGGAGGCTTTGGAGAGGGTGCAGAGGAGGTTTACTAGAATGCTGCCTGGATTAGAGGATATGAACTATAAGGAGAGACTAGAAAAACCCAGGTTGTTTTCTCTTGAGCAGCGGAGGCTGAGGGGAGACTAGATAGAAGTTTATAAAATTATGATATGCATAGATAGGGTTGATGGTCTCATTCCCACAATTGAAGTGTCTAATACTAGGGGACATGCATTTAAGATGAGGGGGGGGAAGTTCAAGGGAGACGTGAGAGGCATGTCATTTTACACAGAGTGGTAGGAGTCTGGAACGCACTGCAGGGGTGGTGATGGAGGCAGATATGATAAGGGCATTTAAAGGACTTTTAGACAAGCACATGAATATGCAAGGAATTGAGGGATATGAACCAAGTGCAGGTAGAAAGGGTTAGTTTCATCTGGCATAATGTTCAGCACAACATCGTGGGCTGAAGGGCCCATCCCTGTGCTGTACATTTCTAAGTTCTAAAGTATTTGTTTAGTACCTTCCCCATCTGCTGCGGTTCCACACATAGGTGGCCTTCCTGATCTTGAAGAGACCCTATTCTCTCCTTTGCCACTTTTTTGACCTTAATGTATTTGCAGAATCCCTTTGGATTCTCCTTAACCCTATTTGTCAAAGCTATCTCATGTCCCCTTTTTGCCCTCCTGATTTCCCTCTTAAGTATACCCCTATACCTTTACACTCTTCTATGGATTCATTCCATCCCTGCTGTCTATACTCGGCATATCCTTCCTTCTTATTCTTGACCAAAGTCTCAATTTCTCTAGTTATTCAGCAGTCCCTACACCTACCAGCCTTGCCTGTCATCCGAACAGGAACAAACTGTCACTGGACTCTTGTTTATCTCATTTTTGAAGGCTTCCCACTTTCCAGCCATCCCTTTACCTGCGAATACCCACCTCCCATCAACTTTTGAAAGCTCTTACCTAATACTGGCAAAATTGGCCTTCCTCCTATTTAGAACTTTAACTTTAGATTCAGTCTACCTTTTCTATCACTATTTTAAAACTAATAGAATAACAATCTCAGGCCCCAAAGTGCACCCCCACTGATACCTCAGTCACCTGCCTCCCTTATTTCTTCAAGAGTAGGTTAAATTTTGCTCCTTCTCTGGTAGGTACATCCACATACTTAAATTCCTCTCCATCCAAGCCCTTATCACTATGGCAGTACCAGTCCATGTTTAGAAAATTAAAATCCCCTACTATAACCATATTATTTTTACAGATAACTGAAATTTCCTTACAAAATTGTTTCTCAATCTTCCGCTGACTATTGGGCGTCTATAGTACAGTCTCAACAAGGGGATCATCCCTTTCTTATTTCTGGAATACTGTGCGTGAAATTACTCCACAGAGGCTGGTATCCCGTCACGAAGTCACCCTTTATTTACACATGAACAGTCCTTGACTATAGTCCTGCCTCATACAGAGTCAGGCACCACAGTGGCAGTATCTCTGACACTCAACCTTATTGTGTCAGTCAGGGCTCCCTGACTGGACAAGATTATCAACCCCATTCAGGGAACTCATATTCTATGAAGTCCAGGTGGCTAACCTCATTACAATCTCCGTAGTGTGCAGTTCTGGTCACCACACTATAAGAAGAATGTGATTGCACTGAAGGGGCTGCAAAGGATAGTCATCAGAACGTTGCCTGCAATGGAACATTTCAGCTATGAAGACAGGCTGGCTAAGGCCAGGTTTGGAGCAGAGAAGGTTGAGTGGAGGGACTTGATAGAGATGTATAAAATGACAAAGGGCATGAACAGGAAGAATAGAAAACTGTTCCTCTTCAGTGAAGGGTTGATACGAGAGGCATAATTTTAAAGTGAAAGGCAGGAGGATTATAAGAGATTTGAGGAAAACCTTTTTCGCCCAAAAAGTGGTAGGGATCTGGAGTGCACTACCTGAGAAGGCAGTTGAAGTGGGAAACCTTACAATCTTTAGCAAGTACTTGGGCAAGCACTTGAAACATAACATTCAAGCCTTTGGGCCTAGTGCGGGTAGTAGTATACTTTTAGTAGTGCAAATCTGATAGGTTGAAGGGCCTCTTCTGTACTGTATGACTATGAGGTGAGGGTCCTGGAGAGGGTGCAGAGGAGATTTACTGGAATGGGTTGAAGGATGAGGAATGTTAGTTGCAAGTTTAAATTAGAGAAATTGTGGTTATTCTCTTTACAGTTTGGGATTGAGGCAAAGTTCAAATAGGTTTAGATACGGAGATGAAGAAAAGCTGATCCCAAAAGCTGATTGTAAGAGGAGAGTGGAATATGAGGAAGAAAACAGTATGCAGTCTGTGGCCATAAGCTGATATTCAACACTTACACTGAAAGACTGATAACACCCAGTTCTTGATAAAGTGAGTGACTCTCAGATCTTGGTTTGATGTTTAATTTCCAGTTTCCTTTCTGAAAATCCTCTTCTAAAATCCTGCAAAAGAGATTTACAAAAGCCATCACTGCCAGGCCAGGACAGAACAGAAATTTAGAAGGGTCAAATATTTCTTTAGATTGAGTTTGATGAATATGAGCCCTCCTATTCTAACACCCACAAGACGACTGACAGGAACAGAGGTCAGATCATTCGGGAAGCATGGTGGCTCAATGGGTAGTACTATTGCCTCTCAGTGTCAGGGACCTGGTTTCAATTCCACTGTCACGTGACTGTCTGTGCACAGTTTGCACATTCTCCGTGTCTGCATGGGTTTCCTTTGGGTGCTCCAGTTCCCTCCCAGAGTCCAAAGATTGGCCATGCTAAATTGCCCATAACATCCAGAGATGTGCAGGTTAGGTGGGGTAGCCATCGAAAAGGGTTGGAAGGGGGGGGTGACGGCCTAGTGGTATTATTGCTGGACTGTTAATCCAGGGGCCCAGATAACATTTAGGGGGACCTGGGTTCGAATCCCACCACGGCAGATGGTAGAATTAAAAATCTAATGATAACCATGAATCCATTGTCGATTGTTGGAAAAAACCGTCTGGTTCACTAATGTCCTTTCGGGAAGAAAACTGCCATCCTTATTAGGTCTGGCCTACATGTGACTCCAGGCCCACAGCAATGTGGTTGACTCTTAACTGCCCTTTGAGCAATTAGGGATGGGCAGTAAATGCTGGCTAGCCACTGATGTCCACATCCGATGAATGAATAAGAAAAATATCTACTGAAGGTCAGCGTGGACTCCATGGGCTCAGTGCCTTGTTTCCACACTGTAGAGATCCCATGATACATGGTGACAACGACACGGGAACCACAGAACATGATTTGCCCTCTTTGCTTCACTACCACCGCTCTGCTTCATCAATAGGTCACTGCGACTCAAAAACTTATGCAGCTTCGTGGACAAATTGTGGCCATTCTGAAACTGCTCCTTGGAATTTCTATGCCATTGAAACAATTGCGCCCCGCCCCCCAAAAAAGATGGCGGCCGCGCATGCACCCCTGTGCACATTGCCCCTATTAAAAATGGCGGCCGTTTATTCGGGCCTAACATTGGAAGCTACGGCCTCGCTCTGTGCAAACAACTGGAACAGAAAATTTATTTCGTAGGTCTGGGACTTACGCAACATGTTTAATAAACCTCTCCGTCCACGAAGCGGGTCCATAGCTCCATCGGCACAACCAATATTCTTCATCGTTTACGGACCCGACAAAAAAAACACCTCACCTACACCCGCAATCACTCCGCGCATAGTTCATACACGCCAACACATTGTGCCTGCGCTCTGCTTTGAGAAATAGGGGGCGTTCCCACAGCTGGGAATGCTGGGTATCAGCAAACAAGCTCTGGCCGTCACAGTGGTTCAAGCATCATCCGTGGAGGGAAAGTCGATCCAGTGTGGTGCTGGAGGAATTCAGTAGGTCAAGCAAAATCAGAGGAGCAGGAGAGTCGACGTTTCGGGCCTAGACCCTTCATCAGGACAGTTCCGAGAAAACGATGTTGATTGTTCAAATTAAGTGATCGGAATATGAGAAAGGCAGAACAATGGCGTTTGTGTAACTGGAATGAACACAGTCCCACAAGAACAAAAACAAAGTTGCTGGAAAAACTCAGCAGGTCTGGCAGCATCTGTGAAGGAAAAAAACAGAGTTAACGTTTCGGGTACGGTGACCCCTCAGAACGAAGTGGGGATGGGAGAGGGGACGTGGTGGCAGAGAATACAACCGTTAAAGCTAAAAGAAAACGAGTGGGTTCACAATTTGAAGGCATTGAACTCAATATTGATCCCAGAAGGTTGTAAAATGCCTGGTTTGAAGATGAGCTGTTGTTCCTTCAGTTTTTGCTGATTCACTGGAGCATCACAGCATGCTGAGGACAGACATGGGTATTTGAGCAGGACATTGTGTTAAAATGACCAGCAATGGGAAGGTTGGGCCATGCTTGTGCACGGATCAGACGTTTCTGCAAAATGGTCACCCAGCCTGTGTTTGGTTTCTCCAACGTCGGGCAGGCCATATTGGGTGCAGTGAATGCAAAACACAAGATTGGAGGAGGTATAGGTGAAATGCTGCTTCACCTAGCCCTTGGATGGTGAGCAGGAGGAGGTGAAGGGGCTGTGGGAAGAGGGGTAGTGTTGGAGGTCGAGGAATGAATCTATTCCTTCCCTTTTAGCTTTTCTTGTTATATTCTCTGTCATCATGTCCTCTCTCCCATCCCCAGCGGGACTCTGTTCTTTCCAATCTGGCTGTTGGACATACCATTGTTCTGCCATTTTCACATTCTGATCGCTTAATCTAAACTACCAACATCCTTTTACCCCAGCACTCCAACCTCCCTCCCCACTGTTGCATAAATGGTACCCGTTCAGCTCTGATGAAGAGTCAACTAGACTCGAAATGTTAGTTTGCTTTCTCTCATAGAATCCCTACAGTGTGGAAACAGGCCCTTTGGCCCCACAAGTCCATAATGAACCTCAGAGCATCCCACCCAGACCCATCCCCCTATAACCCACCTAATCTACACCTCCCTGAACACTATGGGCAATTTAGCATGGCTAACCTGCACATCTTTGGACTGTGGGAGGAAACCGGAGCACCCAGAGGAAACCCACGCAGACACAGGGAGAATGTGCAAACTCCTCACAGACAGACGCCCGAGGCTGGAATCGAACTCAGGTCCCTGGCGCTGTGAGGCAACAGTGCTAACCACTGTGCCATCTTGCTGCCCACTCCCATGGATGCTGCCAGACCTGCTGTGATCTCCAGCATTTTATGTTTTCAATATAGATTCCAAGCACCTGCAGTTATTTGCTCATACCAATGCTGGGTAACAGCTCTGTCATTGAAGACTCGTCTTGTAATGCAATTTGTTTTGTTGTATTTCGGTACAGGCAAAGGCTGAGAAGGCTAAATGATAAAACTAGGCATCAAAGTTTACTAGAAGCTGTCAGCAAGGTGACAATTACATAAGGTGAGCCAGGCACACCTCCTTTGTATTGAAAACTCTCATGTATATATACAAATGGAGCAACATCCAGGGGATTATGACTGACCAAAAACTGTCTGGATCAGCCATTTAAATACTATGGCTACAAAAACCAGTAAGAAGCTCAGATATTTTGAGGCAAATAAATCACCTCCTGTCTCCCCAGTACCCAGCCATCATCATCATCAAAGCAAGTATGTGACCAAATACGCTCTGTTATATTCTGTTATATGACTGAAGTTTTCAAAATCAAGAGGGTCTAGATGCAGAAGATAGGTAGAGATTGTTTCTGTTCATACATGGATCAAGAACTGAAGGGCATAAATTGAAAGTGAAATGCAAAAGAAGCAAATGCAAGGTGACAGAAACCTTTTTCACAGCAGATAGTTAAGGTCTGGAATGCACTGCCTGGAAGTGTGGTGGCGTCAGCTTTAACCAAGACATTCAAAAGGGGAATCAGATAATTATGTGAATAGCCAAAATGTTCAGGCTAAGTGGAAAGGCAAGAAAATGACACTAAGTCATGTTGCTCATTTGGACAACCAGTGCAGATACAATGGGCATATAGGCCTCCGAATGCATCACAACAATTCTGTGATTCTGTTTTGATCTTTCCAAGCAATCTGCTGTCTGGCTCTTCAGTCCACACAGTCTGATCAGGTTCACCTCGTAGATCAGTCATACTGTGATAGATGGCAAGCCTGTTACAAAACAGAAATCAAAACATAGCAGTTAAGAGTAGCTACTCAAGGAAGTCAAAAATTGGAAAGTGGTGTTCCACAGGGAGGAAAAATGAACCCTCAGTTATTAGCAATTTAGAAGAAGTTGAGCATCAGAAATATGAATGCCAATTTTACAATATTGGGGGCAGAATTCCAGTAAACCACAAACAGGTATTTACAATTAATAAAACGTGGTAGCACAGTTCATTACATCTTTAATTCGACTGCTGACCGAACAAGTCACGAAGAAGTGATAAACTGCTTTGTTTATAAATTAGTTATCAAATTGAGAGGTAAAGTTAACAGTGAGGAGGATGACTACAAAGTCCTGGTCACTGACAAGTACACATCAACAAAGTAGAGAATTCCTGGTAACACAATGCAAATCCTGTTTTATTCGGAAATCAAACATCGATTGTATAATTGTACCAGCATTTAATAGCTACTGTGATCTCTTTAATCTGCTGTTCACATGCACTGATTGATCCATTTTCCTTATGCATTCAAGATTTGGGCTTTGCTAGCTACGCCAGTATTTATTGCCCAGCCCTACTTGGTCTGCAGATGGTAGATGAAGTAGTGGAGGCAAGTATAATTACAATATTTAAAAGACATTTGAACAGGTTCATGAATAGGAAAGGTTCAAGGGATATGGGCCAAACACAGACAAATGAGACTGGTTCAGTTTAGGAAACCTGGTCAGCATGGATAAGTTGGACCGAGGGGTCTGCTGCTCTATGACTCGATGGTAATGCTGAGCTGCCTTCTTGAAACGTTGCAGTTCATGTGGTGTGGGGAGACTCACAATGCTGACTGGGAGGGAGTTCCAGGATTTTGAGCCAGCACAGTGAAGGAAAGGCAATTTATTTCCAAGTGAGGATGGTGAGTGAATTGTAGGAAAACTTTCTGGTGCTGATGTTTCCATGTATCTGTTGCTGTTGCCCTTCTAAAAGGTAACAGTTGCAGGTTTTGAAGTGAGTTACTCACGGTAGAATTCCCAGTCTCTGACCTGCTATTGCTCACTGTGAAAAGCACTACATAAATACAAGATGGCGGTTTAAAACAGTTGCCTCAGAACTGTCAGAAAAACGCATTAAAACTTCGCTGAATGACCATATGCGTTTTTAACCTAGAAACTTAATTCTGCCGTTTCGTTTAGACAGGAACACAGCAAAGCTTTACACCAATCTCTGATTTAACGGAACGTATCCACTGTTCTTGTCTAGAAACACAGCTATAATGGAGCCTCTTCCATCTTTGGTGAAGATCAGAACAATGATAGTTACAAAAAAGAAATTAGACGCTGGATTCACAAGGAACTTTGGAACTGTCTTTCCAACCATTCTGCCCTGTGGCCTTTCACATTACACAGCCTGACCTTGGTAAATGTGAACACATATTATACAGAAGCAACTGTCACATATTCCTTACACACCTTCAAATTAATCCACAAGTGGTCTTTGCTGCAGTGAAGAGATGAAAAAGACTAAAATGCTGTTTGTGTCTCTCAGTGTGACCCAGAAGGACTATGACCAGGGTGAAACTCTGTTCCCGTTGTACAATTTTTTCCTCAGATGGTCCTTTTTGATCTCCATCCTGGTGATATTCAACACTCAGGTGGGAGAGAGAAAAAATTAAAACAGTGAGTTTGAAATAAAGGTTGACGGGCTGTTTGATATTTATCTGAAATAACAAGCAGCAAACCACTTTTATTTTGTTTTTAAAATCAATATAAAGAAGCCAACTTGTCAGAATGAAAGAATTCAATCCTTAACATGAGCAACAGCGACAATAACTACTGAAACTAATCCCTGTTATCACTTGTGAGTTCGCTGGTGTGTCAGGCAGGAGGATGACTGTGTGAAACCCTTCCCACAAACAGAGCAGATGTATGGTTTTTCTCCAGTGTGAACTCGTTGGTGTATCAGCAGATCCTTTTTACATTTAAAGGTCTTTTCACAGTCAGAGCATTGAAAAGGCCTCTGATCAGTATGAACAAGTTGATGTGTCAGAAGGTGAGATGACCGAGTAAATCCCTTTCCACATATGGAACAGATGAACGGCCTCTCCCCAGTGTGAACTCGCTGATGAATCAATAGGTCAGATGAATTAGTAAATCCTTTCCCACACAAGGTACAGGAGAATGGCCTCTCCCCAGTGTGAATGCGGTGATGTGTCAGTAGTTTGGACGGTCGATTAAATCCTTTCCCACAGATAAAGCAGGTGAACGCACTCTCCCCAGTGTGAGTGCGCTGGTGTTTCAAAAGTCTGGATAGTCGGTTAAATCCTTCCCCGCACACGGTACAGGAGAATGGACTCTCCCTAGTGTGAATTTGCTGGTGTTTCAGCAGGTAGGATGATTGAGTAAATCCCTTCCCACACACAGAGCATGTGAATGGCCTCTCTCCACTGTGAGTTTGCTGATGCCTCAGAAAGTTTGATGACTGACTAATGGCCTTCCCACATATAGAGCAGATGAGTGAACTTTGCTCTTTGTGAAGTTGCTTGTGTCTCAGAAGATTGGATGAATGAGTGAATCCCTTCCCACACACAGAGCAGGTAAATGGTCTCTCTCCAGTGTGGCTGCGTTGATGAATTTCCAGCTTTGATGGGGAACTGAATCCTTTCCCACAATCGCCACATTTCCACGGTTTCTCTGCGGTGGTGTTCTCGTGTCTCTCCAGGTTGGATGATCAGTTTCCTCCTCCACAACAGTTTCTCCCACGGCCAATGGTGCGATGTTTCTTCAGACTTTGCAATCGGTTAAAACATTTCTTCTTAAATATCAAATGTTCAATGATACCCAGTCACTGTTTCACTGAGTGAATCGGTCAGATTTTGACTGTGATGCTTGGTTTAGATTTGTTTCTTCAAAGCCTTCCTTTCAAAAATCCTATAAAAGGAGTTTACAAAAGTCAGTTCAAGATAGAAATACAGAACACAGGTTTGTACCCCCTCTATCATGCTAATGGTGTGTGTGTCCCTGTCAAGGCCAATATTTTTCGCCCATCCTAACTGCCCTATGAAGATGGGTGGTGAGCTGGTTTCTTGAACCATTGCAGTCCATATGGTGTGGGTGCAGCCACAGTGCTGTTAAGGAGGGAGTTCTAGGAGTTTCAATGGCAATATAGGTTTAAAGCTTACTTCTCATGGTGGGGAAGTCACTCATAAAGCAGTTGAAGGTGGATGGCCCTAGGTCACTACCCTGGGGATGACCTGAGATGACTGACCTTCAACAACCACAACCATCTCCATTTGGGCAAAGTCTGATTCCAGGCAGAGATTTCATTCCCGCTATTAGGCCTCCTAATGCCACACTCAGTTAAATGCTGTAGTGATATTCGAAGCAGTCACCTTCGCCTCACCTCCGGAAGTCAGCTGGTTTTGTCCATGTTTGGCCCTGGTTTGGATCCTCCCTCTGTCCCCAAGACAGCTCCTCCTTCATCCTCGCCGCCGATTCTACCGAGTCCGACACCCAACAAAGAAACTGCCCAGAATCCTCTGCGCCCAGCACTGGAAGCATGCGTACTCTGCGCCTCTACAAAGGCGCGCCATAGCGCGCTGTCGCGAGCGCTCAGTATTATGGGATATGCAATCACCATTGCTCTGATAAACTAAAAAAACTGTTCTAACACAAAAGAATCGATTGGAGAGAAAATAAAGCGAACATTCCAAAATACTTGTCCCAATAACCAGGTTTTCAGTACATTTTGTTCCTAAACTCGAAGTCCTGAAGCTAAGAGAGGATCAAAACCGCAAAACTAAACCGCGTAAGACATTATTGCTCGCAGCCAACCATATGGGAATCATCTACTCCTGTTTGCAGCAGAAAACTGCCAGTTACACGGGAGCAGGATAAAACATTCAACACTGCGTAGAAATAGAAATACAAATTATTCTGTATCTATCCTAAATTCTTTTGTCACATCAGCAAGATGTGGGTTGATTTGTCTAGTCACTGTATATGCAATATTGCATTCAATGATTTATGAAAGATTCTTCCAACCATAGTATGAGTGAAACTGGAAATTATTTTTGATCAAATTGGTATCACAAAAAGAGCTTCATTCAGAAAGACAAGATGAAAATCTGCAACTGAACCAAAATTTTAACACCATCTCCCAAAACCACAACAGCTAGAAGAACAAGAGCAGCGGGTGCATGAGAAATCCATCACTCCACGACATTCAGCAGCAAGTTCACCATGGAGAGAGGCTGTTCGCCTGCTCAGGGCATTGGTGAAGGGCGTTAATCAAGTATCAAACCCACAGAGAAACCAGGGGAGTCCGCAGGGTTGAATTTTACTGTTAATCACTTCCAGGACTGGACCACGTTCACACTGAGAGCTTTATATTTATTTCTGCTGACATTAAAACAAAAGTACAGAGGTTAATATTTTGGCAGAGACAGCAGGAACTGCCGATGCTGGAGAATCTGAGATAACAAGGTGTAGAGCTGGATGAACACAGC